TTTGTTGCTGTTTGATTGTGTGTTTGCGTGTTTGTTTGTGTGATTGTTTGTTTGTTTGTTTGTTTGTTTGTTTGTTTGTTTGTTTGTTTGTTTGTTTGGTTGGTTGGTTGGTTGGTTGTTTCTTTGTTTGCTTGTTTGTTTGGTGTTTGGTTGATTGTTTGTTTGTTTGTTTGTTTGTTTCTTTGTTTGTTTGGCCCCACCTAAGCGAGTTCACGCCAAACCAAAATTGTTGTTGATTGTTGTTTGTTGCTTGTTGGTTGTTGTTTGTTGCTTGTTGTTTGTGTGTGTGTGTGTGTTTGTTTGTGTGTTTGTGTGTGTGTGTGTTTGTGTGTTTGTTTGTTTGTTTGCTTGCTTGCTTGCTTGTTGTTGTTGTTGCTGCTGACTCTGCCCATATGTTCATCTGACCCTCTTACAAATCGAGGCAAGTCAATCACATCCATGGATGAAACCCCCAACATGCGACGCAGAGACACTGACCGCGGAGATGCCAAACTGGCCAAAGTCATACAAGCCATCTGGATGATAATCATATATATATATATGTAATATGTATGTCAATGCTGCAACAAGTCGGCAAGCTGATGCAACATGAAACCAAGGTTTGCAATATCTAAGCAGCTGTCACTGTTCTGCCTTATTTCTTGCAGACTACATCAACTAAGGACTAAAGATAGCACTGTACCAAAGAAGGAGCCATATTCATTTCACACAAGTGGGCGGGCGCACCATGTCGGCTGCTCCTGCCAAGCGTAGGCCGGAGAGGACCCGGATGCAGCTCCAAAAAAGGTGGGTCTCAAAATTGGAAGGGCGTTGCTGGGTGATTTGAGCATGAAACCAAAAATTCCATGCATCTAGTCTTCCCTAAAAAAGGGACAATGGAACCATAAATGGAACACCAGGTCACCCCCTCCCCGAATTCCCTTTTAAAAAGTTTGGATGAAGCATTCCAAAACAAACAAGTGCGTGCCCCGCAGGCTAGCTGGGGTTCCTCATTCCGAACTCAATTGGGGAAGCCTGCCGCCACCTTGCGCAAGCTTCGAGTGGCAAGAGAGCTGCCTCATCCCGAGATGCCGCACGCCGGCAAATGAAATAAGAAGTTTGTCTCTCCCAAGACATGGGCCGCTTCGTGTCTAGCGGACTCCTTGAGGCTTGGGGGAAGTGTCCAAGCAGCTTGATCCAAACCGTTGGCTCTGTTACCTCTCAAGCAAATACAAGCCCAACACAACCACAGCAACAACACATCACACTCTGCGGGGCATGTCAGGTATATAATTGCCTGGCATTGCAACATCTGTTCCGGGCAAGTCACGGCTTAAGGCGAAAAAACACTATAGGGACGCTTGTGCAAAGAACACAAGCGGACAACTTTAGCATTTAGAAGGGGCCGGAAGGTTTAACATACAATCGTGTTCCCGCCCGAAACATTAGGGCACATTCCAATCCCATGCCCAGCAAAGCGTCTCCCCCGTCCAGAAACCTCTTTCTGAATACTGATACGAAGCACTCCTGGCTGACGTCTTCTCCGCGGCACCCGCGATGTCGTCAGCACGCTGAAGCCAAAAAAACCGCCCGGCGATTTGGAGCCAATGAACTTGAAGTCGTTACAGCCAGGGGAAAGAAACATGGCCTCAATCTTGAAGCCAGTCAGCAAAGGCGGCTGATCAGGACATCATATTGCTGTGTCGCATGGAAACCCCAAACTGGCTCGGCCTTTAAATAGATCTAATCCCAATATGCTTCATCACAAACAAATATGACAAGGTTGTCTAGACGCAAGAAAGGGGCTTATGAGTATTCACGTATCCCTTCCCGACATCTTTCCCTTTGTCTGCGGCACTTGTGGCAACCCCTGTCTTGCAAGCTCCGCGCGTTGTCCTTTCTGCGGCTCCAAAGCGGTGCTTGGCGTCGGCGCTTGTTTGGCGGTTCTGGGCCGCGTGAGGTGTCGATGGAACGAAGCACAAGACTCGCTTGGAATCTAACAAGGCTTCCTGCCCCTGGCCCCCAGACTTCCAGGAAACCTCACCCATAAGACTTGAACCATTGAAGGGACACTTGAGGGCTACCTTTGCAACAGTTCATTGCCGATCTTTCCGCTTGGGGTCGACACTTGCTTGCCTATGCCTGCGCAGAAAGTGAGACTGCCTGCACTTTGTAACGCCAGGGACTGAATTTGCAACGACTGCGCACCGCCCAGACCAGACAGGGTTGTTTGTCCAACAGGTCAAACATGTGCATGTGAGTGGATATGCATGATCTTGAACGCATGTCACAGCACAGGAGGTTGCATTTGTGGCCGTGACGGATGGGTACTCAAGTGCAACATCCAAGCGCTTATGAGACACCGCACAACAATGAAAGGCATCACACAAGATCAGGCAACAACTACTGTCGCCCGTCTCCCCTCGTGTGTCTCGACTCTCGACGCATGAGGCACGGCATCCAATGTGCAAGCACGCACGTCCGAAACATTGTTCATGGTTCGTGGGAAAGCTGCGATTGATGCTATGTTTGCTGGATTGTTTGCTTTTTTTCTCCGCAGCCTTGGCTCGAATACAAGTGATTGGTCACCTCGCGACCATTGGTATCGTACAGTCACATATTTAATCTCAAGGCAACAAAATGCAAAGACAAATATGAAGATACAGCAAGTTGATGTGAAAAGACAGCCCCTATGGAATTCCCTAGCAGCCCTGTCCTGGATATGGCTGCCTCGGATGCAAGTCCAGCTGTAGGATGCTGCTGGAGTCATTCCTGGTTACTTTCACTCACGCAAAAGCATGTACTAGAAGCACGGGTACTACTATGCCAAATTACGTCATAGTTGTAGAACGAACATGCTGGTACAAGTAGCGAACATAGTTTCTTACAATGAGGATCAAGCTCATTGCAAGACGCATGACAGCAGTCGTGCCTAAAGACCTGAGTGACACAAAGCACCATGCCTATGGGTCGGCCACAAGCAGTGCGCAGCCAAGAAAGAGACGTCGAGCGGGGCTTCGCACGCTTGGCGTGTCCGTGCCATTCCCGGTCGAAGTTGGAACTTCTGCGGGGCTCGCGGGCGGTGTGAGCTGTTGCGCAGAGGACAGGGCTACACAACTTGAATCTCTAGCCCACTGATTCTGAGGCCTTGTGTGGCCTAGTGTGAAATTTGCTCTAGGAACAACACAGGTTGCACACTTGTGCAATACATGTGCAATACATGTGCAATACACCCTTGTGAACAGCTGGTTTTCACTCAGTCAAAACGTGCTTCAACGAGCTACTGCTACGTCACGACCGCATTTGTCCAGCTCTAGCCTACAGGGGTTGATGGAGACTGGCTCCTTCGCGAATGAGTTAGTACTTGGCGAGTCTCAATCCTTGGAAGGCACCTGCATATTGTTGTGCGTAGCCTTTCAAATGTTCATGTCGACTTGGGCGCCATCAAGGGAAAGCCGATGTGATGGTCTTGGAAATGGGTAACATGCTATCCATGGATTTGTACACCACGCCTTCGAGGCTTGGAAAGGTACTCTGAAAGCTGTGGATTGCCTCTTGGGGAGCTCCCGTTGCTTGCACCTCGAGGTTACATCCCCATGTTCAGGGAAAAGCGCTCTTCCCTCCATACATGATATACCCCATGATATGCCGCGTACCCATCAGGGAAACATGAAACATGTATCTGAAGCGTCCTTTGGAGTATCTGGTTCCAATCCCAATTAGCTGGTGAGGATCGCTCGCCGCGACTCGCGCAGCTCTTTGGCTCGAAGCGTCGATGGATGCTGCTCATTCTGGCCATGGCAGCCACACCCAACGATCTGAACGCCGATGGTCGATGTCTCTCCCAAAACCTGGTGTCCTGAAACACGCTATGCAAAGCGGCGCGCTGCCGCTCTGAATTCAGGTCCTACCGTGAGCTCGCATTGTATTCACGAGTGCCTGTACGGGCAACATGCGAACCACGAGGTCACCATTTCAATCCAAAAAGAGTATGGAAGTGTACAATTAAGGAGGAGGTGTCTTGGTTTGGGGACCTCCCAAAATATGGTTTCCTTTTGGGTTTCCTTTGAAACCCACCTCCGGCGGGGTTCCCCCGAAGAAAAACACACCCATACGGGGCCAAGACCACAAACCTTCATTGTAAGCTCGAGCAGCACAGGCAATCTTTGCTATGTGTGCCAAAATGATTGACTGTGGGCAGATCTGTGCCCATGCTGCCTTCCCCGAACATCTTCCACGGTATGGTGATACCAGTGGCTGAACATTTCTGGTTGTCTGTGCGAGTTCAGAAGCCCTGCAATCAAACAACTGCAACTACAGTTCACTTGTCTGCCAGAATGACCTGGAACAAAGAGAACAAAAAGAGTCCGCCGTTGTTGCGCCAGTTGCTACCAGCTGCATCAGACTACAAACAGGCGCGAGGCCACAAGTTAAGCGATCTGTCTCCATGTCTCTCTGTGTGTTGTCTGTTGGCTCTCACCTTCATCTACATACTTGTTCTGGATGCGGATTCGCAGGGAAAACAAGTAAGCTTAACCGGATGACAGGATAACTTGCCGAGGCGTCTCGGGCGACTTGTTCAGGGAAAAAGCGCTTGTTTCCGCTGAGGTTGAGAGAAGCGAGTTGACAAAAAGGGATCAACACGCAAAGGCAGTCTTGCGTGTTACAAGCAAGATGTTGCATAAGAAAATTCCCACAAACTGGGCAAGCGCATTCTCAGCCCAAAGAGTCCCAACATGACCTTCGCTCAAATCCCGCGAGAGGCTTTAACTCAAGCATCGCTGCGTCGCTCATTGATAAATTACTGCACCAATGTGGCATGCAAGGATTGCTTGTTGCTGAACGCAATCAACTGGCGTGGCCAAGGCTGTCAAGGACTCAAGGAAGATAAAGCGAAACAGCAAGAAAGTACCGGAACCCGAGTTGTTATTCAACGGTTGGGCTTGCAAGAAAGCCTAAAGAACACACTCATCTTGGGCAAAACAACTCATCCTCAACCCTGATGCCAAAGTTTCGCGCCTTCAGGGGTTCAGGGCGTACTGCACCGGCAACTGCACCCTGGCGCGCAAAAGGTGTTTGTAGCTTTTGATGTTGGCACCTTCTTCCACGTGGCAGGTAGTTGTTGGTGGTGTGCCATATCTTTCTAGGGGTTGATTCCCCGTTCTTTTCAGCCATCGTTCTTTTCAAAAACCAGGGTAAGAAGGATCCCTGGAAAGAATGGGGAAGTTACCCCTACAATCTTTGTCGTTGTTCGGGCCTCTTGACTGAAAGAAGCTAACGAGCAGTGCCCCTGCTGTCTGGATGTAAGCCAACGCAATTGTAGTGGCGAGCTTGGGCTCAGACAAAAGAAAGCATTTTGTTGGCCGTTCAAGTACCGCTCATTCCGCAACACCGTTTCAATCAGCCTCTCAATTTTCTGGCCCTGCTCAGGGCCAGCAAGCAAGCAAGCGAACCAAGCAAAGCAAGGAAACAAAGCAAGCAAAGCAGGCAACACAACGAAAGCGAGCAAAGCAAGAAAGCAAGCAATCGCAAGCAAAGGCAAAGAAAAGCAAAGCAAACAAGGCAATCACAGCAAGCACAGTAGGCAATGCAAGCCATGCACGCGATACAGGCAAAGCAATCAACGCAAGCAATACAATCAAAGCCAGCAAAACAAAGCAAAGCAAAGCAAAACAATGCAGAGCAAGCAAGCAGGCAACAAGTTAAGAGCTTGCTAGCACAGCCCGCCGTGTTCGCAAGGCAAGTCCTTACAATATCTGTAGCCCTCGGGCCCGCGGCCGCATGCTTTCTGCGTGAAATGAATGGACAACTTGGGTAGCATTTTCTTTTTGGGGAAGCAAGGGGTGTCCTCTAGACTAGTCTGCCAAGGCGCCTATCCATGACAGCGTCGTCGTCCGCGAGCATCTGCTTTAAGGAGCCATACTTGCGCTTCAGCCACCTGTCTCCACGACCGAGCCGGCGTGCACAAGCAACGGCTGAAAACTTGGAGGTTTCGAGGGTGATGGCTATGGCGGGGATCTGAATTATATTTATTTGTCAATACTTGGCTGGAATTAGGACCCCAGCCAAAAATGAGATTTTTGCCTGGTAGTGGAAAACAAAGGGAACCCCAAACAGCAAACAAAAAAAAGAAGAAAGGAACTAATCCTGGGGAAGAAAAGCCATGGGCATGACAGCCTAGACTCACCATTCCGAAATGGAGCGCTCCCTGCAGGCAACGGGAGAAAGTGCGGGACCTGCACAAGGAATGCCCCACGTCATTGCATGGCTTCTTGAGAGGACATGGCTGTGGGTCAAAACCAATGGTACCATTTGGGGTAGGTGCACCACCCATTTTAGTCTATTTTGGTGGGGAGTGGGATGTTCACTGGGGGTACGGGATTTTGACCCATGGCCACATCTGTGACAAGCTGTCGCTCTCATTTGTCAAGTGTGGGGAGGCACATCCATGTCATGCAAGCCAAGCTTGGTTGCACCAGGGTCAGTGCGGAGACCAGTCCCTCCATTGCCGTAACAGATCAGGGCTCTTGGAGTGAGCGACCGCCCCAAGGTGCTTTTCTTCGCTTGGTTTGCTTGTTGGCTGCTCAAAAAACCCGTGGTCAAACTGGAACCCTGGCAAGTGGAAACATGGACTTCAAAACCTGCGGTTTGCCCCTCCTATTTTTTTTGGACCCACCGCCTTTTCTCAAAATCCGAGCCAAAGTCGGCCGCTTGGGGTCCGGGCATCTTCGGCGCCTGCCACTCGTCGCGCCATTGGTTTTGGCTCACCGAAACGCTGAACCTTGAAACCCTGGCCCCGTGATTGAAGAAAATTGCGAAAGGCCAGAGATTTGAGGCTTCCAAGGATCTTGGATATCTGATATCTAAAATGTTCTAAGATCACCAAAAGGGACAACTATGAAACTTGAGGTACCTTTCGGTTCCAATTGAAAGTCAGCTTTTGTCTGCTTGGCCCGTTTAGGATTGGTTTTGGAGCGTTGCTCAAAACCACCAAAACTCGCCCCCAGCAAGGCGAAGGCGGCAATTCTGGCGATGCGACAGGCGAGTCAAGCCGGCCTCCAGGCGCATAGACCCGGTCCCCGAGCGCTGGCCCAGATGGGGCGAACGCCCTGGCGGAGAACTTCAGCAAAAGATCTGTGGGGCCAGCTGGCGGGTCATTGCCCATTTGCAAACCAAAACGGGGCTCTGACTGCCACAAATGGGGGGTGCTGGATGCTCATGGTGAGGTTTGTGACTAGAGGGTTGGCCAACTCCAATCCCGAGTGGGAAACCCCTGCAAATCGCTCTGATCAAAACAAGGGGTACAGGATACCCTCAGCCCCCGACTGCAGAATGCGGCAAGCCACTTGATTGGGCCAATCAACCGTGTCCGGAGCGTCAAGGAGCATGTGAGGACCCCGTCAAGCAATGATTGGCCTGAATTGCGCCGCTTGTCTACTTGTGTTGATTCATGCGATGACGAGTCTATATCCAAGCGTCTACTTGCACACACACACAGACCTTTGCGAATGCTATGTACACTGGGTCCTCCAGTAGAGAGGTTAGAATAAGGGAACCCTTTTTTCCGTAGTCGATTTTAGTAGAGGAACCCTCCCAACCAAAAAGGGGTGAGCACCTAGCTGACCTAGTATATCCGTGAAGAAGAAGAGAAATGAGCCTCGGATCATTCCCTGCCGGTGAGTCACTCGCAGCCCATGCGCCTGTGGCCAAGCTGCCCTGGCAAAAGTGGAGTTCTCTGGCGGTCCGTTTTCAGATCCGCGAAAAGTAAATAACTTGTGGGTTAAATTCACTAGGTCCTCCAGTAGAGAGGTTAGAATACGGGTACCCTTTTTTCCGTACTGAATTTTAGCAGGAGAACCCTCCCCCAAAAAGGGGTGAAAGGGCACTAATGTTGGACCTCCTTTATTAATAGTACTCTCTATTGTGGAAACAGTTTTTCTAATTCAGAATCGTTTGACTGTTTTAGGGGTCCTCTATTATGGAACGTGTTTTGCCGGCAACAACGCTGGGATAAATATGGGGAAAAACTTGGCAAACAAGTCGGGCAAAAAAACCGCCTACCAAATCCTGGCAAACATTGGGAAATCGTTCTCTTGAAGTGGTCCCCAAACCATGAAACTTAAGATAACTTCTTTACACAAAAGTGCGGGCAAACAGTCACACAAAGGGGGGTGCCCACAAGAGGCCCAGATCCTCTTTAATGCCATTGTTTTGGGGTCCTCTTTAGTGTCCAGCTGGTTTCGGGGTTGCTGAAAACTGAAAACCAAAGCCTCAGCCTGAAACTTGTAAAAAAGGGGACTCATCCTAAGCTCTCCCCAGCTCAAAGGTTAAAGGCCTGAGATCTAGGAAATGGATTTGCAAGTTGTTCCCAAACCATCAAATTTAAGATAGCTTCTTTAAAAAAAAGTGCGGGCAAACAGTCACACACAGGGGGGGTGCCCACAAGAGGCCCAGATCCTCTTTAATGCTATTGTTTTGGGGTCCTCTTTAGTGTCCAGCTGGTTTCGGGGTTGCTGAAAACTGAAAACCAAAGCCTCAGCCTGTTACTTGTAAAAAAGGGGACTCATCCTAAGCTCTCCCCAGCTCAAAGGTTAAAGGCCTGAGATCTAGGAAATCGATTTTGTAAGTTGTTCCCGAACCATCAAATTTAAGATAACTTCTTTACAAACAAGTGCTCGCAAACAGTCACACAAAGGGGGGGTGCCCACAAGAGGCCCAGATCCTCTTTAATGCTATTGTTTTGGGGTCCTCTTTAGTGTCCAGCTGGTTTCGGGGTTGCTGAAAACTGAAAACCAAAGCCTCAGCCTGTTACTTGTAAAAAAGGGGACTCATCCTAAGCTCTCCCCAGCTCAAAGGTTAAAGGCCTGAGATCTAGGAAATCGATTTTGTAAGTTGTTCCCGAACCATCAAATTTAAGATAACTTCTTTACAAACAAGTGCTCGCAAACAGTCACACAAAGGGGGGGTGCCCACAAGAGGCCCAGATCCTCTTTAATGCTATTGTTTTGGGGTCCTCTTTAGTGTCCAGCTGGTTTCGGGGTTGCTGAAAACTGAAAACCAAAGCCTCAGCCTGTTACTTGTAAAAAAGGGGACTCATCCTAAGCTCTCCCCAGCTCAAAGGTTAAAGGCCTGAGATCTAGGAAATCGATTTTGTAAGTTGTTCCCAAACCATGAAATTTAAGATGACTTCTTTACAAAAAAGTGCTCGCAAACAGTCACACAAAGGGGGGGTGCCCACAAGAGGCCCAGATCCTCGACTGCTTTGGGGTCCTCTTTAGTGTCCAACTGGTTTTGGGGGTTGCTGAAAAACGACCCTTGGCAATACTAAAGTAGAATTGGCAATACTAAAGTAAGTACTGGAGATCTGGGAGTCAGTGTTGGCAATACTACAGTAGAATTGCAATGCTAAAGTAAGTACTGGGAAGCTGAGAGTCAGCCTTGGCAATACTAAAGTAGAATTGGCAATACTAGAGTAAGTACAGGGAGCCTTGGCAATACTAAAGTAGAATTGGCAATACTAAAATATGTACTGGAAGTCTGAGAGGGAGCTTTGGCAATACTAAAGTAGAATTGGCAACTTTAAAGTAAGTACTGCCCCTCCCGGACCCCCAGGATCTCACTAAAGAGAGTCCCGCCGACTGGTTCCACTGTTCAGGGGGGGGGTGGGGTTACATTAAAGAGAGTCCAACATTACTAACGGACCTAGTTCAGCAACTAAACACTAAAACCAGCAACTGAACACTAAAAAAGCTAGGAGGATGGCTGGGAACCACCAAATTCTGGTTGAAAAGAACGATGCCGTCAGATGGCGTGGAGGGAGTCAAAAGGTAAGCACGACGAAAATGTTTAAATTGAGATAGCTTGGCTCACCGTGCATCTAGACAACGTCTGATTCGGAATATCATGGAATATGACTACTCTACTGACTCTATGAGGAGAGCATTTGCAGAGAAGGTCGCTAAAGCTCGCTTTAGCGAGTGAAAGCTGTGCAGGGTTCAAAGGCAAGAAAGGGATGCCACTTTCCCAGAATCAGGGATGGACCTTGGCCAGTTTTCCGAAAACCAGATTTGCTACGATCTTGAAGGCGAAAATTCCTGCACCTGAAGCAGGCCAATCACATGGGAAAAAAGGGTTGTTTTCTGGAGTGAGAGGAAGCCCTTCCAACCCTGGGGAAGCCAATCAACCGGCGTGCTTCATTGGTGTCAAGTTGCAGCAGTCCCAGTCGAACGTCTGGGTTCGCGATGTTTCGTGAAGCCATCAAACAAAAAGGGACAAATATTTAGGGACAAATGTGACGCCCTTATTATCAGCCAGGGGTTGGTCACCGGTTGTCATGGACATGTAGGTGCAGGAGGTTACGCTGCTTGGTGAAGTGAGCTTGCTTCACCATCTCGTGGATCGCTCCCAGTAGGCATGTGATGTAGGTGCTCCCTCTGATAAGTTTGGCCGAAACGAGCCGGACAGAATTGTATCTGATACAGCTCGCTATCTTGATAGACGGGGATGTCCCTGTGGGGTGGTGATTCATCACTTTATTTAGGTGCATGCAAAATAGGGGAGCTCGACTGATTCAGGGCTCCCTGCAATTGAGCCGCATTGGAAAGCTTTGGAAACGAAACAACAACTCGAACGGGACACGTGCAAACAACCACTGTGGTTGGGAACCACTACCAACAACCAAGATCTTTCTTCAGAACCGCTTGGGATTGCAAGTCACACAGCTTCTGGCGGCAGCCCCAAAAGGCAAGCTCTGCTTTTGCTCCTGCAATCCTGGACGCAAATTGCAAAACTCGAGGACCTTGCGTTGGATGGAATCGATCCCGAAACTAAAAATCCAGCCAATTCTTTTTAAACGGCGCACAAGGGACATACAAACAGTAACAACCCTCAGCACATCAGGAATGTAGAAGGCACATGTGGTAGGCTTCTTTTTGGCAGCCCTTCAAACCAAGCTAAACCCCGTCAAGCATTGGAAGGCCAAACCTACTGCGAGGCGTACCTGCCAGCAACTCAGAAAATGAGCAACCTTGCTTTTAGACAATGGGAAAGCGAAAAGACCCAAGCATCTATAAACGTCTTGCAATGTGGTCAACAATCATGGCGCACGCATTTTCAATCAGATATTCGTCCCGAATGGAAAGTGACGTACATGTTTTCACCGATCACACATGCACATTGATGGGTTCAAACCTGGTCAATCAACAACTCACTCATTCTGCAACTGCGCATGGCTTAGCAAACGCAAAAGGGACTGCCAAAGGATTCCCGCCTTGTTCTTTGGCTTCTTGGCCACCCAAACGCAACAATCCACCACTCCCGAAACCGTTCATGCCCCGGCCTACGGTTTGCTCCTCCCCTTTCTAGCTGTGTGACACCTGGTGGATCATAAATCCTAACGGATCAGACAGTGGTCGTTCCTCAGGCCGCATAGCATAGCCTGTGTCTGTGTGTGCGCCTGCGTCCTTTAACCGAAACGATTGTTCCAAAGACAGGGTTGGTTGGTTTGGTTGGTTCAGTGCTCCAGTACTTGTCTCTGGTTTGTTGGTATTTTAGCTATGCTGATCCAGCCTGCGTCTGCATGTTCTCCCTGGTACGTGCAGGTGATGCCTCGGCTCAAAGAGGTAGACACTGCATCTGCTTGTGATTCTTTTCCACCTATAATTATACCACAATTTGTGGAAGAGACCTGCCACGGTGTTGCCAAACATCACCAATGTCTCGAGCATAAATGCCGTCTGACTATTTGCCATATGCACTTGCTCTTCTCCAACCAAACCTCGCGCTGCAGCACCACTCCACGCCTGCGACAAGTCCATGGTGCGGAAAGGCGTGGCCTGGCAGAGACTTCGAAGTTCTCTCGCGCTAAGACATTTGCGACCGGGACGAAAATTAAAGCCAACAGAAGCATTAGTTTCACCCTGTTTGGCACGTCGTCGTCATCATCCTTGCAAGCCCTCCGTGAGAAAAACCATCTAGACTATTGCGTCACACAACTTACCAGGAGCACGCGAGCCATCACAACGAACTAATGCCAACCAAGTTGCAGATTGATTGCCTCACGGGCAAACATGGTTGAGGGTATCCCTGCAGTGAGCGAGCAATTGGCTCGGGACAATCCACCAAGGAGTTGCAACGGCCACCACCCTGCAAGACATTGAGGCGCGCGCAGCAACAACCTGAGGTGCTTAACTTAAGAGCGGGATTGAGCCAGGCATCAACAGTCCAGCCAACCCTTGCCGCCGATGTTCCCGCGACAGCCAGGCCTGCGGCGCTGGTGTCCGGGGCGTGCCTGGCGCAGGCGAAATCCAACGAAACAGCGCTGAATGGACGCAGCCGTGCCGCTTGAGGGCGCGGGCTGGTGGCCAGCGCGTCAAACTTGGGCCTTGGGCAGCTCAATCGCTGCGTGGGTCCAATCAGCCAGCAGTGGCGTGAACACGTGCGCTTCCAGGCCTCTGCTAAACGCGCTCTCTCCCTGCTTTGTCGACGGGGCACGCAGCGGAGATTGGAGTGTACGTTGAGCGCGGCTGGCATGTGGGGTTCTGCTCCCGTCCATAGAACACACTTGCCTGCTAATATGTTTCCCTTTCAGGTCGAGCTCATATCAACTACTTGGCATCATATCAACTACTTGGTTGTCACGTCGCTCCGTGCCAACAAAACTGCCTGTCGCCAAAGCAAGAATGGAGGTCCATATGAACCATCGTGGCGGCTCGGGCCAACTTCAGAAGCTATGCGCCTTTCGAGTTTTCACAGTTCCAGAACGGGGGGGGGGAGGCGAAGCACAGAAAAGGATGAATATGTTTGTGGCATCTGTTAGGGCAAAGGTCGGCAGGTACGGTCTGATCGCACCGGCTTGGTGAGTTGGTCTAATGGCATTCTTACTTGTTTAGGTGTATGTTTGCAAGAACTCTGACAGGGACTTTATCCAAGCAAAACAGCCAAAACACAGTGTCGGCCGCTTACCTGCAGAGCGCCCCGGGCTGGCCTTGTAGCACGCGTGGCTTAAGGACCAACACAGGTGTCGAAACGTGGCTACAGCTTCCAAAAGCACGGATGGTCGACATCGCTTCTCATGCACATGATGTCAACCAAAGGGCCCAACCTTGAATTCCAATGTGTTCTTGTGAACTTCAAAACATGACGAAGGAGTATGTGGAGGCCACTGAGACTCAGTTGTCCTAGATTGCTAGGAGAAAATGTCAGCAGCGAGTAGACGAGCTGTTCAACAGTGCCCCACCGCCGTCAACCAGCAAAAGGCAGCCAGCCAAACCGGTTTCGGCTGACACATGTAGTGGAAAGGAAGACCCCACTGAGCATTGCATGCATCCACAGAAAATGTTCAGAGTTTTCGCGAAGCTAATGTAATTGCGTAATATATGTATATATATATATATATGTATTTGGTATATATATATATATACATATTTGGTGGCTGCAACAAGCCGGTCCAGATATATGCCTGTTTTTGCACACCTGCTTGCATCCCAAGCCCGAGCCACACCAGATACACGGAGCCAACACCCTTCATCACCCTTGCCGTAGAAACGCTCCTTTTGTGGGACGTTTCTTTTGCAGCTCCATGAGCAGTCTCAAAGTAAACTGCGCAGCATCTACCTCATAAAGCGGGCTTCGTCGAATGATGGGTTCCTCCTGTAGACCTCTCACTCCTCAACCCCACTGGTTCCATAGACTCAGGGCTAGTGGCAGGACGGATGGTTTTAAGCTTTGCTGCGGACGGTGCAGGCCGATTGGCTCAATCTGCACGTTCTCTCATTGAAGGAGCCAGCAACCTGCTGTATGGCTCTTCCCCGTAGAGGAGGATGGATTGTTCTATCAACTGAGCTTTGCTGGTTGGCTCGGTGTGAAGGATGAGTAAAGCCACCACAGGCAACCAGCTGGATGGGGAGTTGTCAAGCCTCACTTAGTGCTGAGATATTTACCTCTATTTTTGAACTGAGTTCCATGCAGTGTAATTAATTAGAACCCGAAAGCGAGGTGCATTGGCGCATCTCAGGGTGGCGCACAGCCCGAAGCCAACTTCTGAGGTTGCTACTTCTGCGTCGAAACTCGGAATGGCAATGGCAATGTTCTGGTTGCACGGACTATTCGCAACATCAGCGCCATTCTGACGTAGTCAAGTCACCCCCGCTGGAACCCGGCGGTCGACTTGTCAGGTTCGGCCAGTGGGTTCGCTTGCCCAAAGCGAGGCCTGAGCAATCAAAGGGCTAGACATTACGAGAGAAACACGGGGCAACACCTCGAAAATTGCCGCACTCCAGCCCAGGCCCAAGCCTTCCCCGGGAACGTTGAAGCTTTCGCAATTTTCGGACAGCTGATGCCCGGGCAGCCCGAAAATATTTTCCATGAGCGAACTATGCGACCCTTGGCGGCGAAGACTTTCTTCAAAACGCTTTTTTGTTTGCCTTTTTCTCTCCTGGGGCCCCCATACTTTTTCTTGGGTGTCCGGAAACCGACCGAAAACCACGAACACCTTTTTTTTGGTGGGTCGGGGTTCCCCCTTGGACAAACGAACAAGCGGGGATACGGAGGGAGCAGGGATATGGGTGGATTCCCTTGGCGCCATTTCCCATATCAAACTTAGACAAGGTGCATCAAACATGTTGGAATCCTCCAATATCCAACTGGTTCCCTCTGTGTCCCTGCTAGTTGGTTTCTGAGTAAAGATTGGCATTTCACTCAAAGGCTTGCTTTGAACACATGGATAATCAATGGAGATGTATGGGCGGTACATGGACGGGCTGACCATTGGTTGGAGAACCACTCATTTGGACCTCGACCTCACAGTCGGAGCTCGCAGCGGCACCTCTGGTGTCCCTCCGGGGCGGCAAGGGCAGGGGCTCGGTGGAGCGCTGCATCTCGAAGGGAGCGAACTGGGCCTCTCCGGCAAAACCGCGGCAAACCGCCGGACCTAAGAGCGGGGAAAGTTCCTGGTGTACCTTTTAAAGGTAACGTGCTTTCTTATTCCTTTTACTAGGGCTGGTGTATAGCTTTAAAACCACACAAAAAGGAATTGGTACCCTTCAAAGAAGTCCAAGTAAACCACTACACAGACTGCACAAACGTCAGTGTCGTGATGCGGCTCTTTGAACAAGTAGGTGTCCCGTTCCTTTGAAGTGTGCTCGGGAAGCCAGATGGCTGGGCCAACTTGCTATCATGACCAACAAGCACAAACAATCCATCTCCGCATTCGCATGACACACTGCTTTTTATTGTTCAATGTCCATCACATTGCTGGCATCATTAAAACAATAACTCGTTGTTTACATGTTATGACTATAAGATGTCAATCGTGTTGTAGGCATGCGCGCTTCTTTTGCACAGTGGCGTGGCCTTTGGCCACGCCCGGACTGGGGAGCGACTCCACTGGCGAAATGGGAGCAAACAAATGCCCTCCCTATCGAGGAGCGAAACGAAATCATCTCCAAAGATTGGCCGACAGGGCCCGGGGAATCCGAGCCACGTCCCTTGGAAAAAACAGGTCGAACGTGGCGATCGTGCCAATGGAAGCCACCAACAATTAAGTTTCTACTGTTGATTTGGGAAATCCAGCGAGCCCCAGCCAACCCTGACCTTAGCGCATTGCCAGCCACGTGAGAGTCTCTCATGTTGCCAGGGTCCAGAAAAGGGCAAAGCCAGGCTTGAGGCAACAAGGGGACTCGAAACCTGGCAAAAATCAGCACATGCATGTTGAAAGGACCTGAAACCAGAGGGATGGAGCATCTTCCATTTGGACTCCGTATCAATGGGGCTCCATCTGGCTCGTTCAACCAGTACTGCCACCCTGGAGCATGAAACTTCCGTGGGGATGGTTCACCAAGAACTGTTCCGGCTTGAATTCATGTGAACGGTTGCAGAATCCATTTCGTAGCTGGAATGATTCGATTCCCTAAAGGAACTACCAATGAACCTTATGGTTTCCACCATGGTTTCCAAGTCAGTGGACCCGGGCCTCCTCGTGCAACAGCAGGTTGGTGAGCCCCTGGATTTCTCTTCGTCTCATTGGCTTTGGAGCAAGCCGACTCTCGTTTTTTTAGGGAAACGGGCTTGTGTCCAAACAGGGGGACCTAAAAAAGTGGTGTTCTTTTTGGTTTCCCTAAAAACTGCAGTGAACACGTCAGGTTTGCACTTTCACGCATCTGCACCCTACCGACCCATGGCCACACAATTGAGACAGAAGCTCACTTCGTATCAAGCAATCCAATTCTGGTGACTGTCCCTACTCGCTTGATTCATCCGCCCACCTTTGTGCCTCACATAACCATTTCCTGTACCGAAATTCATCCATCCCAATGCCAACGTACCCACCCCGTGTACTCGCGTGGCTTGTCGGCACAGATGTCGGGCACGCAAAACCACCAAAGCCCTGCCTAATTTCCGAACAAACCTCCGGTCTCTAGGAACCCGTTTTGAAAGGGCTGGACCCGGAAAAACCCAGCAAGATCAGAACTAGAAATCTTTCATCAAGTGTTCAATCCAGATTCTGAAATTGGGGATGCTTCACCACAGCTGGCTTTGAAGAGAACCGCCCGCTAGCTCGACCTATGCAAGCGGCCTGCATCGCTTTTGCTTTTTGGAGGTCGGTGACTTATCTCCCCAGTCTGGTGCGCCCTATTCCCACCAGCTTCCAAATTGGCTGTCGAGCAAAAGGACAGCGGTACTCTTGGAGGACGACAAGGCAAAGAAGTTAATCCACCCAGCTGAGTGCCTATTTCATCCATTGACTTTTGGTTCTGCCAGAATGGTAATGGTCGTAGCCCTCACTACTGGCACGAAACCAACTGGTAGAACCACCACCGTTCAGCATCTCAATAGAGTTTATTGCTCTGTGCCTACTGTGAATGTACCATGGTTGCTTGTAGAAACAAAAAGGAAACCACTAGAACCAGCTACCTGTTTGAGTGAACCACTTCTGTCGCCACGCAGGTAGGGCTCCTCGGTCCCATTCCAAAAAAAATACAAAGCCGGCAAAGTAAACGTCAAACGGGTCAGACCCGTCAGACCCCCCCTTTGCGTTGCGAACTCAGTCCTCGATGCTGGACGCAGCCAAGTGCAGCACGCCCAAGGCCGGGCCCAGAACAATCCTGCGAGAACCCTTCGCGCCGGGCACAAATGAAGCTGGGCTTGGCAAGGCTTAACGTTTTTGCATGTGCTTCACTCGGCTTTGCTGTCTGTCCGTTTTCTGACCTCCGGCTAAAAGTCAAGAACTTGTGGCTTGCATTTGCTTAAGCCCCCTGGAAAAAGAAAAAACACATAATCCCAGTAGTGATAGATTCCCTTTAAAGCCACCAGGGGAGTATATAAACGTGAATAACTTGTGGGTTACATTCGGAAACCCGTTACAAAACCAATTGAAAACCACAAGCCTACGGAACCGGACGATTCGCTGGGAAGCCCCGCAGCATACCAGAGAATGTGCAGCTGCGCAAGAGCACATTGCAATGAAACCCCTCTATCCGCGCTATTTGATGCATTTAATATCATTTCATCTGGAAAGGCTTTTTACGTTTCTGCTTGCGGAGGCCAACTTGGGCCAATGCTCAGTAAACGTTGGGATATGTGCCTCTGCTTTGCTTGTCGAAAGGTGGATCTCCAACAACGTTACTGCGAAGTGGTCGGAATATGGCCAACATTGCTTGATAGTCATGCAGCTCGGCACAGACCTACATACTCAATGGGCGTTTGACATCCAAATCCATTGATTCGCGACACCCACCTCACCAAACGGAAGCCTGTGTTGCGACAATGGTACAAACATCGGAGTAGCATAAGCAACACCACCAAAGCATTCCTTGTAGAGCAAACTTCGTCTTCCTGCCCGCCCCACCTCCCCGCCCCCGTCAGGTCGAGTTTTTTGGGTGGGAGGGTATCTGAAGTAATGTATCGTGGGTCTGAAGTGATAGAGAGATTGCCAAAGGGTACCACGAGCTCTTGTAGTTGTTTGGTTCCTACCGTCCCATTGATCCATCCAAAACACTCGCATGCGCCCACGACGGTCAAATAAAAACGGCTTGGTTGAACATCGCCTTGTCAAACCTATGCAGGGGGGTTGCCTATGTTGAGACAGGCAAGCATATGTTTCATATCATTTAAACCAAGCATGGCACTTTGAGAGGCTCAGAACCGCCCTAGCAAAAACATGTTTATTATGCCATGTCCTGGTGAAGTAAACCCAGGTGTTTGCATGTTCAACAACTTCCCCCACTCTTTTCGGCTGGGTTCAACCTCCTGGCCGTACTTTTGTCCGCTTGACTTCGCCCAGTACTCCAACAAGGTCTAGAAGATGTCTCGGGCCCACCATTTGTCCGTCGCTCCAAAGTTCTCAACTGCGCGCCTGAACAAGCAAAGGCAAAAGACCACTGAGGCCCGAAAGACGCCCCAGTCGTGGTAGGCGATCTGCGGGTGGGTGCAACGACGGAATGGCTCCCCAGGCAAAGTGATTTGGGCATGAATTGAATCGGAGTCCCTTTGGGGAACATCGATTTAGGTGGGGATTCATGTTTACCAACCACCTTTGAGGTGGTTCCCTATTGAATTTCCTAGCCAATTCAAAGCACGGCCCGTTGTACCATTCAAGCCAGTACTCATATCACCAGAAAAAAAAAATCGCAAAGGAACTCACAAACCTGCGAGCGGGAGTGCACCCCTGTCCCATGGACCTGCAAGTCAAAGAAAGCTGTTTTGAATCAGCTGGCAGTCGCTCTGAACCCAAAAACCAGACAAACTATTTCAACGCATTCGCAACAGCCCTCCCTCTCTAGTTCTCAAGGTTCATGATCAATGACCATGCCGCCAAAATGGGCCAAGGTGGGACAAGTATCTATTGCGCGGTGGCTCGCGGCTGATCGACACTCCGCAATGCTCAAAGATAAAGTGGTTCATTTCAGATCATGAGCGAAACAGGATGGGAATAGTGCCAACAGTTGTCAACAAAACCAACACCGCACGGTGATATGCTGAGTCGACTTGTTCATCACTTGGGAGGAATGCCACATGCGGCAAAATCACAAAAACACGCTAGTCTCCACCTCGCAAGACCTTGCTTCGTCTTGCATTACACCTCTCCGGAAGGCTGAGATTGAGGATTGCTATCTGGTCCAAGAAAGGTCCCAGAGCCACAGCCGAAAGGCAAAACCACTCCCTCAGAAACCGCCGGAAGATCGACCCAAATCTTCCCACGAGGTCCAGCCACGCGCCACGCACTGGCCTGCGTCTGCAGAAGCAGCTGCCGTACAGGCGTCAAGGTGGAATCAACCACCTGCACAGTGAGGAAGCACTGAATTCGTCATTCCGTTATTACCGCCAACACCACCCAAATAAACTATCCAATATGAAAGCAATGTAATGTAAGGCAAGGTGATGTAATGTAGCGCAATTCATGTCATATTAATTATATTGTTATGCCGCAAGTTATGCCTGCATGTGTATATATATATATATATGGTATCACGTTGCCAGCCCCCCCGCCCCTTCAAGGGTCAGGGGTCAGACAAGTACCCCCCCTTGTGGTGTGGTCCTGTGGTTGGATTGAAACTATTCATAGTGAGTAAGAACCACTTTGCACATGAAACACGAACTGTGGAATTCCCCTTCATTGCTGGGGAACCTCCAAATGTCTGCCAGCTCTACCGATTGCCAGCTCTACCGATTGGTTGGGTATGCGAACCACAAGCAAAAACCGACTCGGAACCACCAAATCGGGCAGAAAAGTTGATTTGGGGTCCCCCAAAACGGGTTTGATTGTGAGTCACAATCAAAACCGATCGGTATTGAATCGGTCTACCCACACCATGTGAAGAGGGACGGATATCCACCAGGCCGGGAATACACTGAAAAAAGGTTCATCCACGGGTTTTGCTTGTCACCTCATTTGTTTGATCAAAACTCTGCTTCTATGGCCGATGGGGTCATGGTTCCCTTTCCAAAAAACATAGAGGATCCTTACCTGGACCAGGTGCATATCCGAACGCAAACCTCAAGAAACCTCTGTTCCGAACGAGTAGATTGGCCAAACAAGTTCCCGAACCTTTGGCTCCCATCAAGTCCTTGGATTCAAGCTCGGAACGGTAAAAAAGACGACCGGCTCACTGGTGCATTTCGGGGTGGGAAATGGAACCCGCTGTGGAACAAAAAGCGGCCTCCCAAAGACTAAGTCCCCTATAAAAGAAGGTTCCAACTTGTATCATGGCGCCTTGCGATCCCACAACCCCTGGTTTTCAAGACACCCTCAGATGCCCAATGTCCATGGGAAGAAAAAACAACTCGGACATACTTCTTTTGTTGGACAAATGAAGGGCCCCGCCCAAGGGAACCCCCTTTTACAGGAATCGGACCCCTTCCCACAAAAAAGTGGGAAACGACCAAAAACCGGGCGGAGTCCGGCCGGATTCCCCGATTTTCCGGCGGCCTTCTTGGAAAAACGGGTCGATCGATCCAAGCGATCGATGCCCGGCCAGCCCGGAGAAGCCCTGCAGGATGCCGTCCATAAAGCCCTGCGCCCTCCGGCGCGGCACCCCCAGAATCACCTGGGCTGGGCGCGGTCCAGGAGCGCGCGCGGGGGACCAGCAGGCGCGGGCAGTGGGCTCTCCGTGACCCTTTAAACATGGGTCCATGACTCCAGTATTTTGGGTAATGACCCCATTTTGTGAGGGTCATGGAGACTCCAGGCCTAGACTTGATATGTCCGGACATACGATCTTCGGATGATGTTTCATGCTGGGGTCGACCCTAAACTGTAAACTATACATTTGGAGACATGCAACTGTGCCCAAGAGATCACGTATTCTAGGAAGCACTTGCATGGCTGCTTCTCAAAATGAAAGGACGCCACAATTTATGGGGTGTTCCCTTTTGGTGTCCCTTTAAAATCACCTTGACCACCATTTTGAGAAACCCTCCCATCAAAACAAGAGAGTCAGGTTGTGCAACTCAATCTTGCATTGCAAATGGAAGACACGTGCTCAAGTTGTTCAAAGGGCGACCATCGCACAGCCACTCGAACTGGGGATGAGAGAGCTTCTGAAGCCGTGCAATGGAACCACCACCACAAGCACCACCACCACCCCTACCACTACCCCCACCACTACCATCACTGCCACCCTAGAAATGGCCATTGGCCCCATTGCGGGACAAACACTCCCTGAAACTCCCGAACCCAGCCACACTGTAGCACATGGCTTAGTGTGCCTAAAGGCATACCAGGGTTTAGGGTTGAGGGTTTAGGGTCTAGGGTCTAGCGGCTTAGTGTGCCTAAAGGCATTGTTGTTGTGGTGAAACCAAGTTTATCTTGAAATCACACAGCTCGCTTCAGCTGGCCATCAGGATCAGGGAACGAGACTTGCTGTTGGTCCACTGAAGAAAACTTCATGCTTTGGCAGCGCTCGACCAAACAAAAAGTGCTAAAAAAGCTAACTGTTTGTCCACCAAAACAACATCAAACAAAAAGAGACACCAATGGTCAGTGGGGTTTAAACAATGGTGCTATCTTGGCATCATGCCGGTCCCACCTGTCGGATGATGTTCAGGATCAGGACAACGCCGAAGAGGCTGTTGCCTCCAACGCCAAGCTACCACTCATTTTCTGAGTGGATGCCCCAAAATTAGTTTACAAGTCTGAACTTTTTGTCTACCACCACAATGGTCTTCCACACAAGTATAAAGTCCATAAACTCAGGAAGTGAGACCATTCAACTTCCTAAGACCAAATGTAGCCCAACTGAGGGCCACTCTCCCTTCAGGAAGGACACCATTTCAGCGATTTCAGCAGGGTCTGTCCTTTTTGAGGTTGGAAACAACAAGGGCCACAAACACTGAAGTGAAGCTTTTGCCGAGTCTAAAGCCAGCCATTCAAATTGGTCGCTAGGACGGGCGAGCTGAAACGCATGGAACATCCACCACATTTCCCGCGACATGTTGTTGTACATTACCTACATGGCTACGTGTTTTTGTGGGTACCCCGTTTTGAGGGCTGTGTGTTGATGAGCACAGCCTTGTTTGAGCGAGGAGCAGCGCCAAAATCCTTGGCTTCCTTGCGGTTTCCCTTAACCCCAACAAGACGACCCACTTGAGTCATGATCAAATCCCGTCGGTATTCAAATGGGTATGGCTCAAAATTCAAGAGCTAGGGTTACGCAGGTTTTGGGCTTTGGCTCCATTTACCAAGGTGCCATTTTGGCACCACTTTTTGAGCCACAGCCAAATGGTCACCCAACACCATGTGCCGAAGTACCAAGGTATCCACACCTATGGCTGGGATTGTCCCTTACTAATGTTGACTCGACCCCAGATTCATACACCCCCGCTGAGCAATATTGGGGGTGTCCCTGGTTTTTGCAGAGATTTCTCACTTTTGGAGGGGAACACTATCTCAAATCAAACCGGGGTTCTGCTTCATCCCGGGTCAACATGTCAAAAGGTGGGTCGGGTACCCTATTCCTATTTTCTAAACTCATGTAAAAAAAATGCTGGGTCGGGTACCGAACGTGTTTTTTGGACCAACCGCCC